TATATATATATATAATTTTATTAATGAATCAAATTGTATATATTTATTTTTATTAAATAAATAAAATTTATATATATTATTAGTTTTATAATATTATTAATAAATTGATATCAATAATATTATTATATTTATGGATAAATTAATAATTTCATAAATATAAATTAGTATATGATAATATAATTTTACGAACTATAAATATATTAGATAATTAAGATGATCTAATAAATATATTAAAAGAAAATTAATCAAAAATCTCTATCATTCTTAACGCATCAGCCTCGTATTTTATATTAGTCTAGTTGAGGAAATTCATTAAAAATTAAAAAATTAGTTTCCGAATGCATACGAGGATTTCTTTCTCAAAAATAAGATATTTTGTTTTTGTTATCATATAAAAAAATTGTACTTGTCTCACAAAAATAAGTACATATTCCAAAAGTCAACAGATGTTTAAAGTCAATAGATTTTTCTCTTATTATAAGTTTCATGACATGTGGGATAGGATAATAAATATTATTAAATTTTTAATATTGATGATTAAAATCACACAATTATAGTGTTTGAGGAACTAAAATTGTTTCATTAAAATTTAGAGGGCTAAAATCTCATAATTACCATACTTAAAAAATAAAAAATTCATCTACGATTAAAGTTTTTTATTATACTTTTTGTAATACTATTTCTCATAATTTTTGAATAAAAATGGTAATAATAAGCTTATTAATGGAATTTGATTTGTGATCTTACATATTTGCTCAAGGATCTAAGTCGGTCAAATCAACAACCTCAACATGAGTTATCATTGAAGGAGATGTTGTTTTGCTAACAACTTCCAGAGGTGTTACCTTCAAACTTTCAACATATATAATATTTTCAGAACCTTTTGATTAGCTTTGATTGTAATTATGTCTCCATTTGTTATTAGGAGCTTCGTTGTTAGATAAGGTGTTAAGCTAGTCACTCCAAGTTGTTCAAGGTTTGCCTTCTAATGAGTATATTATAAGATGTTGATGCCTTGACCAAAAAATATGTGACAAAAAAATTTCTCGAGTTTTGTAAATTTCCAAAGTTTGTCAACAATTTTACACATCCTCAAGTCTATAATTCTTCTCCAATAAAACCAATCAAAGGTTCTATATGTGGTTGAATAAGGTTATGTGAAATATCCAACTTTAGGAAGGTTGACCAATATAAAACATCAACGAAACTTTCTTGGTGGATGAGTATCTTTTGTATTCCCAATTTGCAATCTTTACTAAGATAACATAGGGTTATCTTGATTTAAGTTGATAGCCTTATAATCATCATTAGTAAAAATAATAAGAGGACTTGGTTTACAGAGAATGTTGGTCATGTTGTTGACATTATGAACATTTCTCAAATGTCATTTTCTTGCTGAGTTTGTGCTTCCTCCTTCTACAAAACCTCTTGCTATGGTATTGATCACTCCACAGATATTTTTGTTGTCATTAGTTTTCTCTCTACCTTGTTCTTTTACATTATTTGTGGTTTGGTGCTCTTCATTTTCACTAAAAGAAATGTTACATATAGTGTCATATAAAAAATGTCATTATAAGTACAATATATGTAAGTATAAATTAATTTGACATATAGTTACATATAATATTAGTGTTGATTTTGAATGAGATTCAACAATATATATTGTGTGTCACTATAACTTATGCTTACACTTTTTAATAATATACCAACATATAATATATTATAGTGTATGTAAAAGTAATTTTTAGTAACAAATATTATGTTACTATAAGATATGTGTCACTTACAATTTATTTTTGTAGTGTGTCGATCTTGACAACCATGATAATTTTGATTACATCCAGAACCTATACCTCGTCAACAGTAACCTCCATGAGGCTTGAATAAGTTCTTTTATTTCAATGTCCAACATTCTTTGATTGTATGGCCATAGTTTTTATGGTAACAACAATGTTTATTCTTGTCCGTGTTTATTGGATTGTGCCTAAATAGGGGTAAGGAGGTCAAATATGTATTGTTAGCCTTTTCTAAAATATTAACCCAAGGTATACTCAATGGAGTATAAAAATCATATCTCGGATCTCATGTTAGATAAGGTCTCTTAAATTTTGTTTCATTGACCGCTTTTAATTTTTCTTTACCACTTGCTTCATTTTCGTTGGATGTATCCTTTAACTTTGTTTCAAAACTCAATATATTCTTCCATCTATATGTACCCAACAATTTTGGCACAAAGTTCATCCATACTACCTGGTTGTCGATGACATAAATTGTCAACAAAAGGGTTCGGGTTTGAGAGTCATGAGCATGGAATGTAGGACAACTATAGGATTGAGATGACAAATTTTTATGGAGACACTAACAAAGCATTCCATGAATTTCTCAATGATTCATCATCTACTTGACGCAAATTTGAAAGAGCAACCGAGGTAATATGATGAGATGCGACACATGATAGTATCTTCATTTGTGTAGAGATCCATTTGAGTGATGTAAGCATCAATGTGCTCATTAGAATCGGAAGTGTCATCATATCATCCGATGTTTAATGTTTTCCACCCTACTAGAAGGGGGATTTCCATAATTCCATCGATGAAAGGGTGTGGTTAGACAATCTGATGACCTTGTAAGTGGTGAGATTGTCTATGAGTGACCGCATGTTTGAATTAGTGTGTATGATTAGGAGAAGAATGATGTTCTTCTTCTTCTTCAATATAAGCATGACTGGGTTCATTTTCTGGTTGTTATCGTTATTGAGTTTTAATGGTTTCATTCTCAACACGTACTGTCAAGAGATCAACTTCATGTTAGTGATGCATCGTTTTCATAGCTTCAACATTTTATTGTCGCATGATCTTGATATGATTTATTAATCTTCACAATGATGCATTATCTTCCATGGCTAGTGTTCCTTGATCTACAGCTCCCATAAGTATGGCTTGAAGTTGAAACCATAGGCTGTATAGGAATTTTACTTCAATCCCCCATTGGACGTCATAATGTTCTTACCATAACACACTCAAATAGAGTGATTATTTTATTCAATCTTTTACTTATAATGCATTAAAAATACATGTAAAAAGGACTATGATAATCTAGTTAATCTATTTGTCGTTCTTCTTACATATCATACTACACATACCTTTTCTTAATTAATTATATTTATCTGTTTTTTTTAATCAATTCTATAATTATTGTGATTATAACAATACATGTTGACTAGTTAAATTAAAAACTGATGTGTCAAACTCAATATATTGATTATATGATCAAATTTATGTATGAACTTAATCAATACATATAATATAAGGTGATTATTAGAAATCGATATATTTAACTCGATAATTCAAATATATAACGCAGTAATTAATTCACCTGTAAATTAGTCTATTACTAATATTGAGTTATTCAAATTGCTTCTTGACCGACTACGTTGCCTTTTTGATTCTTAAAAGGAACCGGACACGTTCTATCAAACACATAGGACAAATCAGATGACATCTGAAACTCTTTAGTATTGCACCAAAGTCTAATATGATATTAAATGTCATCAGTTATTCATTAAAAGCAACCCAAGCCGAAAAAAAAAAAAAAAGAGCCACCCAAATCATGTATCAGAAAATAATGATTAATTATCTTTTTGCACATTGGCTCCACCGAGTAAAATACATAATAAAGTTATAAATTCATTAAAATGTTCACATAACTTGAGAATTGAAATCAGTTTACCTGCATACCATATACTCATCTTGTTTTTTTTTTTAATAGTAATAAAGAAAGATTTATCCTAAATATAAAAGTATTATTCTAATTTTAAATATATTAATTATTACTTTCATTTAATAATATTAATTTTTTATCAAATCTATTGATAAGATACTTCTCTCTTTTATATAAGTGAATGTGTTGATTGATTTATTGATTTATTAATAATATAAGTAACATGCTTTGTTAAAAAGAAATATTTATGTATAATACAATTCAAATTTAATTATGTTTTTAATTTTTTAAATTTGGGGATATTTTTTTTCTCTCCTAATTTTAAAACTTGTGCCCTAAATCACTAAAAAAATATTATTTTAATCTTTAAAATTTAAAATTTATCTTTATAATTCATGTAATTATAAAAATATTGTTTTAACCCATAAGATCACTAATAATATAATTGATCAAAAAAACTAAAATAAGATTTTTTTAATACTTTAGAGACTAAAAACACAAGTTTTAAATTAAAGAAAAAAATATATTATAAAATTAAAATAATATTTTTTTTGAAATTATAAAGACTAAAATCATAAGTTTTAAACTTGAAAGATTAAAAGATATATATTTCAAATTTGAGGGATTAAAAATATATTTAAGCCTATAATTAAATATATTAATAATTAAATAGTTTAATTCTATAGTTACTTTTACAATAAAAATTAAATTTATAATACATTTAATTAAATTATTTTCATCTGTTTTGATAAATAACTTAATATGATTATTTTATTATTATTATCATCATTAAAAAAAACACTTCATGTCTCTTTATATTTATTTAAAATAAAAATAAAAATAATAAAAATTGCAAAATAATGACTGAAATATAAACTAATCATCTTAATAAAATGTATACACAAAAAAGTTATATCACCATAATATATTATTATAGATCATAAATCATAGTTTATAAATTACTATTATCACCATCTACAGGTTAATAAAGGAGAAAAGAAAAAGTCAACTAAGACCGAGTCTTCCATTTATGCAACCCAGCCAAATAAATAAAAACACATAAAATTTGGACAGATTTCGGTACTAAACCCAATGCCCAGCTTCATCGGATTCTAGGATATTGGTAGAAATGCACTAAACGTGTCTCATATTTCTGTAGGTTGGGGTTTGGAGAGGGTCAAAACTGCACCCAGTTATCAGTGCAATTAAGACACTGCAGATAAAGTTGATCCAACATATTCACGTTCACACTCAATAATCTTGAGAAATGACAAGATAAAATATAGATCATGCCTGAGTGTGCCACTCGTGCAAAAACACACCCAAGCATTAAATACAGTTTGTAACTTCTATCACTAATTATTTTCTATCTTTGTTCAGAACATGGGTTGGTACGACTTACATAAGTTTTGACTAGTAGTGCAGTATGAGTGATATAAACTAAAAGCATTCATTCTCCTTTTCAGTGTGAGAAAGAAGAATTGAAGAAATGGCTGGTGGGTCTTTCACAACGGGTACTGTGACCAAGGAGAGGGCAGAACAGTACAAGGGAAGAGTCACCCCTTATGTCCTCATAGCTTGCATTGTTGCTGCCATAGGAGGCTCTCTCTTTGGCTATGATATTGGAATTTCAGGTTCTTACTTTTACAAAATCCATATCCTCAATCATAGCTTCCATGATTTCTTGTTTTTCATGTTTCGTAATTCTTACTATGAATCAAACTTGAGATGCCTTATGGTCGTTATGGCTATCAGAACTTTTAGAACTTGTTGTGATTGAAAGCTCTAACAAGAGAGGTGTTGAACCGTGAAATGATTTTGTACCACTGTCCACGCCCAATTGGCATGAATTGAATATCTGACAAGAGGTTCTGCTCTAGAACTTCAAGATATGAATTTATTTTTGGTTGTTCCGTGTGCAATCTTGACCCCCTTTTCCTGTTTCTAGAAGATGAGATTCCCAATTCTCATCTCAAAATTTCAAACAGTATAATTTAAATAAATAATAATTAAAAAAAAAGATCCTGGTTAATCTACATAAACTGGTGCAAATCCAATCACTTACCACCTTACCAATTTGAAAATATAGTGGCTTATTACTATTGTCCAATTCTCTGCCTGAAATTGTCATAACAATTATTGTGAATCCAGTTCAATCTCCACGCCTTAATAGAAAAGTCATGGCAGTCTTCAGTTCCATATTCAGACCATTCTGTCCCTCTTCATATGTCAATTATTGAATAAGAAAATAGTTCACTTAAACTGCTTTTGAACAATTCATGTTCATCACATCGCTTACGCTTGTTATGTGATGTTATTTTCCTCATGTGATAATGAAGTCACCTATGCTTGATGGAATCAGTAAAAGAGTTTAATTTTCAGTAAGTAGAGTTTTAAATTCAAGTTTAGTGGTCGGAAAAAATTGGTGGCGAGAAGGATTTGCTTCCATATTTAAGTTCACCCGGATCAACTTAACATAGTCAAAGTTGGATGTGTCGTTTGCAGTACTAAAAGATCTAAAAATAAAAAATAATAAAAACTTTTCAGTCTCTGCACCAGACACGGGACCACGATAAACAACTTTCACGCTGTAAAGGTTATGGACGCCTTGGAATCATTTATAACCTCACTTTCATTCAGAATCACAAAATGATAATAAATCCTTTCAGATTCTGTTTCCACTTTTAATTATCAAAAGGCGATCTTATCAAAAGTAATAAAAATTATTTTTACTATCTTCTACAAACAAAAAAAGGTTCTCGAATCAAATACTTCATTATCACATAAATATTGTTAGGAAGCAAAAAAGCTATAATTATTCTTATACTAAAATCTACCATTTAAAATCTATAAAAAAGATAAAGATAAATGGAAGCATTTTCATTCATATCCCAAAAACTAAGAGACTACATTATTTATAATCTAATACAATAATTATAAAGATGATCCTCCAAGTGTCATAATAGAAAATTAAAATATAAACTAAATAATATTCTAATATATCCTATTAATCCACTTGGTTTAGTTTCTTTCGTTTTTGGACCTCGGAATACCCATCTTATCATTAAATATGCAACTCAGAGAATAAGGAAAGGCAGGCTAGTATTGGAACATGGCCTCATTATGCAATATGAAGCATCAACTCTGCTTGAGAACACAAATCATGCTTGAGAACCCTAAACTTTAAATCCTATACACATTCAATTTTTAAATATGCTTGAGAACACAAATTATTGATGCTTGAGAACTCATGTGAGGAACTGAAAAGGGAAAACTGTTTTCACATTGTTATATAATATATAAGCTATATTTAATTATCTTTCATGATCTTTGTCCTTAATTTTACATTTTACATGTATTAGTCATACCAATGGTGAGTTTGAGCTTGTACTAGTTATACCAGTAATTGAACTAATTACTCATAAATAAGAAGACTATTAGGTTAAGGTAACGTACAAGCACAACAGTAGATCATTTTCTTTTTCCTAGGAACTAAACTTATTTCTCTAATCCTTACATAATAGGGTTGGAGTGATAAGCAGAGTGAGTTTGAATCTTCCCACTAAAATAACAACAACAATTAACATTTTCCGATAAATAAAAAAATGATTGACAGGAGGGGTTACATCCATGGACGACTTTCTTGAAGAGTTCTTCCCCTCAGTATACAGACAAAAATCGCATGCACATGAAAACAACTACTGCAAGTACGACAATCAGGGCCTTGCAGCATTTACCTCTTCTCTATACATTGCTGGTTTAGTTGCAACCCTGATGGCATCTCCTGTGACAAGAAAGTATGGACGTCGAGCAAGTATCATAGGTGGCGGTATCAGCTTTCTTATTGGATCAGCTCTGAATGCTTCAGCTGTTAACTTGTCAATGTTGATCTTAGGCCGGGTCATGCTTGGTGTTGGCATTGGATTTGGAAATCAGGTAGTAACACATTTCTTTAATCTATGACCAATCCTTATGCAGAAACAAACTTATTTTTTCTTCCTTTTTAGGTGTAATAACTTGAGATATCTTCATATAAAAGGAGAAACCAACTCCCCCCTTTTGTTTAAAGCCTACTTCTAGATTATCCCAACAAGTATTTTGAAAGGTGAGTGTTAAAAAATAAGAATAATGATGTAAATGTTAACACAAGTTAAAAAATTTACAGGAAAAGAAAGGTATTAATGTGATGGAAACAATATGCTTGAGTTAAAAGAGAATCAAGTTATACCTTGAAATTTGAAAAATTCTCCTCCTGGTGGTTGTTTTGTAGGCTATTCCGCTTTATTTGTCTGAGATGGCACCGACACACCTTCGAGGAGGCCTGAACATGTTGTTTCAAGTTGCAACCACTCTTGGGATTTTCACAGCTAACATGGTCAATTATGGAACACAAAACATCAAGCATTGGGGTTGGAGACTATCCCTAGGCTTGGCTGCAGTACCAGCTATTTTGATGACTATGGGAGGGATATTTCTTCCTGACACTCCAAATAGCTTAATCGAACGAGGGTTTAAGGAAAAAGGAAAGACACTGCTAGCAAAAATCCGAGGAACCGACCAGGTAGATGCAGAGTTCCAAGATATGGTTGATGCAAGCGAGTTGGCAAAGTCAATAAAGCACCCATTTCGTAACATCCTTGAAAGAAGGTACAGGCCAGAGTTGGTTATGGCAATCTTCATGCCTACCTTTCAGATCCTGACTGGCATAAATTCCATTCTCTTCTATGCTCCGGTGCTGTTTCAAACCATGGGATTTGGTGGAGAAGCATCACTCATTTCTTCAGCTTTGACGGGTGGTGTTCTTGCTGGTTCAACATTCATTTCCATAGCAACAGTAGATAGGTTGGGCAGGAGAGTTCTTCTTATCAGTGGCGGAATACAAATGATCACATGCCAGGTAAGAAAAGCTGTCTCATGCAAACTAATCATGTTTGAAATATCCATTAAGGTGAGAAATAATGCTAGAAGCCAGACCAAAACCCATGCAGTTTATGATGCTTAACTTCAGAAATCATGCTATATGAAGATCTAAGGCGGTCATTTTATTAACATATAATATTTCTTAGGATAGGGTCTCTGTAAATGGTATGAAACATAAGGTGCAAATGGTAGCATATAGATTTAATATGGCAAAGTCAAGATTCTTGCAATTTGAAAAGTGATTACTTATTATAAATGTTTAGAGTTTGTACAATTTAAAAGGATTTTTAAGAATTTCTCTGTAATATTTGTGTAGAGAAAATTTTAAAAGCCCTTTTATACTCGTATTCAAAGATTCCCTTTCTCTATGAGAAGAGGTGCAGTCTACTATACTGTGTGGAACAAATGATTTTACTTTCATTTTTCTTATGAGCAGGTTATAGTGGCCATTATCTTAGGGATCAAGTTTGGACCAAACCAAGAATTGTCAAAAGGCTTTTCAATTTTGGTGGTTGTGGTGATTTGCCTATTTGTTTTAGCCTTTGGATGGTCATGGGGCCCACTTGGATGGACAGTCCCTAGTGAGATATTTCCTTTGGAAATCCGGTCAGCAGGGCAGAGCATCACAGTTGCTGTGAACCTTCTGTTCACTTTCATAATTGCCCAAGTCTTCCTTGCTCTTCTCTGCTCATTCAAGTTTGGGATCTTTCTCTTCTTTGCTGGCTGGATTGCCATCATGACCATCTTTGTTTATATGTTCCTACCTGAAACCAAAGGGATTCCCATTGAAGAGATGTCATTTATGTGGAGGAAGCACTGGTTCTGGAAGAGGATATGTCTCACAACTGATGATAGTTCTGTCTGAATTACTTGATACAGAAATGGTGTCAAATAGCATCCAGAACAGGAAAGTTTACCTTTTTTTTTATTATTTTTTATTAACTGTCTATTTATTGAAGTCGAGAATAATGGATAGATATTTAAATAGTTATTACACCATAGAGGAATCTCGATCAAACATTTATAAAGGTACCCTGCTTACTGGTTATACACATGGAATTGGACATAATCGTTGAAGAAAAGAAAAGAAAATACTAAGACAGGTTTCAATTGCAGGCTTTTTTTCCATAATAAAAATTAAAAAATAAAAATTAAAAATAAATTAATAAAAAAAACTATTTACCAAACTAAACTAGAGAGATAAAGAAAACGTCAGCTCCAATGACGAGTTCCAATGCACGTAGCAAAGAGGAATAGTGACTGGATCATTAAAAACGTCATTGTAACTGATGTTTTGTATTGCACAAAGCAATACAAAAAAAACGTCATTGTAGCTGATGTTTTGTATCGCACAAAGCAATACTGAAGGTTTTATGGTGAGAATCGTAAAATTGAGAGAAGAAGAGAAAGACAATATGTATTGTGGAAGAGTAAAATGAATAATTATTCTCTCACATTTTATTTCAATGAGCTGCAGTACAATATATAATTTGAAAACAAAATGCACTTAACCAGGATTTCAGCAAAATTAAAACATAATTATCTTGCTCCTAACGTTTAGGAACCACTTATTGACTCCGTTAATGCTTTATAAAAAATAATAATAACTAAATTTCAGTTACAAAAGCACAGTTTTAACACTCCTCCTTGCTTTAGGAACTGCAAACTCCAATTTTTTTCCAAACTCCAATTCTTTTCCTTAGAAGTTCAAATTTGCTGATAGGCAATGACTTTGTAAATATGTCAGCTAGTTAATCTTCAGTCTTGTAGTAAACTAAGTTTACTTCTCCACTTTGCTGCATCTCTCTCAAGAAGTAGAGCTTGATATTGAAATGTTTAGTCTTCCCATGACACACTGGATTGTTTGCAATAGCAATTGCTGCTTGGTTGTCAACAAAAATTTCAGTTTTGTTCTTCTGGTGTAAAAGTAAATCACTTAAAATCTTCTTCAACCATAAAACTTGATTTACAGCTGCTGTTGCAGCTATGAATTCAGCTTCAGCAGTAGATTGTGCTACAATCTCTTGCTTCTTTGTGCACCATGAGAAAACTCCAGAGCCTAGGCTGAAACAATATCCTGAAGTACTCTTCATGTCATCAACAAATCCAGCCCAATCACTATCAGAGAATCCGTACAATTTGAATTCTTGACACTTCTCAAATTTGACACCATAATCAATAGTGCCTTTAACATACCTCAATATTCTTTTTGCTATTTTTAAATGCATTTCACTTGCACAATGCATAAAACGAGACAAGAGACTTACAGCAAATAGAATGTCCGGCCTTGTTGCAGTGAGATACATTAGCCATCCAATCAAGCTCCTATAATATCCTTCATCAATTTTATCAGCACCATCTTCCTTGCTCAACTTCTCCTTTTGATTCATTGGTGTGCTAACAGATTTGCATTCCTCCATTTGAAATTTCTTCAAAATTTCCTTTGCATATTTTCTTTGACAGATAAAAACTTCATTCACACTTTGTTTTATCTCAATTCCAAGAAAATAGGTCATGAGACCAAGATCTGTCATTTCAAAGACTTGCATCATTTCTTGTTTGAACTCCTCAACCAGTCTTGTGTCATCTCCAGTCACTAAAAGATCATCAACATAGAGGGAAACTATGAGAAGGTTATGTCCTTTATGTTTCACATAAAGAGTGGACTCGGATAAGCTTTTTGCAAAGCATATGCTCAATAGGTGATCATTTATCTTGCTGTACCAAGCCCTTGGTGCTTGCTTTAGGCCATAGAGGGCCTTTTTAAGAAGACAGACTTTATCTTCTTCACCTTTCTTCATAAATCCTTCTGGCTGCTCCACATATATTTCTTCTTGCAGTTCTCCATTTAAAAAAGCTTATTTAACATCTAATTGAAATATTTTCCAGCCATTTTGCGCAGCCATTGCTAGCATCAATCTAATTGTATCCAATCTAGACACAGGAGCAAAAGTGTTAGAATAATCAACACCAAGAATTTGTGCATACCCTTTTACTACGAGTCTGGCCTTGTACTTGTTGATTGAGAAATTTGCATTAAGCTTTGTTCTGAAAACCCATTTAACTCCAATGACTTTTCTATCTTCAGGCTTTTCAACAAGTTCCCAAGTCTGATTTTTTTCAATCATGGCTAGCTCCTCCTGCATTGCAGCCCTCCACTTGGGATCTTCTTTTGCATCCCAGTACCCCGCAAGTTCAAGGACAACAATGTTGCACCTTTGGTAAATATCAGAGACCAATCTAGTGCCTCTTACAGGAATATGATCAACTAACTCATCTTGATTGTGTGAAGAGTCAGTTGTTGAATTTTTTTCTACATTATTCCAACTCCATTTCTCATTCTCCATGAAGTGCACATCTCTACTTATCAGAATTTTCTTTGTGTGAGGTTGTAAAATGGTATAATCTTTAGAAACTGAACTGTATCCCACAAATACACCAGGTTCAGCCTTTTTGTCAAGCTTGTCTCTCTTAATCTGTGGCACATAAGTAAAACACAAGCATCCAAATACTTTAAAGTTTTTTAAAAAAGGTTTATAGCCATACCAAACTTCAAAAAGAGTCTTCCCATCAACGGCTTTGGTGGGTAGTCTATTTAGCAAAAATACTGCAGTGTTTGCAGCCTCTGCCCAGTATTCCTTAGGTAACCCTTTTTCATGAAGCATACATCTAACCATTTCCATTATCGTTCGGTTCTTTCTTTCACTAACCCCATTTTGTTGAGGGGTATAAGGAGTTGTTAATTGATGCTCAATGCAAGATTCCTCACAATACATGTTGAATTGTTCTGAAGTGTACTCCTTGCCATTATCAGACCTCAGAGCTTGAATCATGCAGCCACTTTGCTTTTCAATCCACTGCTTAAATCTCAAAAATACACCTGCAACTTCTGACTTAGACTTGAGAAAGTAAATTCAGCACATTTTGGAAAAATCATCTATGAAGATGATATAATATTTACTCTCTTTAAGTGAAGCCGTCCTTCGAGGTCCAGCCAAATCAGTGTGAATTAATTGCAGCCTCTCTGTTGCTCTCCAAGTTGCTTGCTTAAATGGTAATCTTGTTTTCTTGCCATATTGACATGCTTCGCAACTTGGTAATTCATAATCTAAGTGAGGTAAGCCACGAACCAATTCCTTTCATTGCATATTCAACACAGCTGCATGATGAAAATGACCCAACCTTTTGTGCCAAATCTCTGTACTATTTGTAGTAGCTGGATATGCTGCCTGCTCTTCCTCCATCGGATCAAGTGTGAAACTTCTGCCACTCATTTTAATACTGAAAATTTCCTTGTCATTGACATCTTTAATAAAGCAATGCTTATTTTCAAATTTGAGTTTAAATCCCCTCTCAAGTAATTGTCCGACACTAAGCAAGTTTTGATCAATTTCAGGCACATACAAAACATCATAAATTAATTTTGTACCTTTGCAACTTTCAATTGCTACAGTTCCCTTTCCTTCAACAGTAATGAAAACACCATTACCAATTCTAACTTTTGATACCTTTGATCTGTCCAGCTCTCTGAAAAGCTCTTGATCATGGGTCATGTGATTGGTACAACCACTGTCTACTAACCAACATTGAGTTGAACTACTGTTTGTAAAACATTTTGCTACAAACAATTGTTCTTCCTCCTGCTGGCTAGCAACTCGAGCCTCATTCTTCTATTGAAAATTGCTTTTGCAAATTCTCACATTATGTCCTAGCTTGTTGCACTTTTCACACTTGACATCGGGTCTTCTCCAACATTTGAAAGGAGGATGACCCATTTTGCCACAATGCTTGCAAGGAGGAAACTCTTTGTTCCCTTTTTCGTTATTTTTGCTGGTGTTGGTGGCTGCTTCTGAACCTTTGAAGTTCTTCTTGTAATTCTTCATTTTTTTTCTTTTCTACTTGGTTGATTTGCAATTTAGCTTGCAATGCTCCTTCCACATAAACTTCATCCCTCATTTTGCTCCTTTGCTCTTGGGCCTGCATAGCACTTACAAGTTCTGCCAAGGTGATCTTTGACAAATCCTTAGTATTTTCCAATGAGGTAATAGAAGCCTCAAATTTTTCAGGAACTGTTACCAATATTTTTTGAACTATTCTTGAATCAGAAAATTCAGTACCTAGTAATCTCACCTTGTTTGCAATGCCAAGAAGTTTGTTAGCATACTCCTTGATTATTTCTGACTCCTTCATTTTTTGCATCTCAAATTCTCTAACCAGATTCAGTGCTTGCATTCCCTTGATCCTTTCATCTCCTTCATATTCATCCTTGAGGAAATTCCATATTTGAAATGCTGATTTGATTGTCATGATTCTGGTAAAAATGTCTTGTGAGACAGCAACAAACAAAGTAGCTCTTGCTTTGACTTTCTTGCTTTCCTCTCCTTATGATGTTTAATCTTAGCCATAGTTGGATTGGTTGGTAAAGGAGGAACATCGTAGTCTTCCTCAATAGCTTCCCAAAGGTCATTTGCCTCAAGGTGTGCCTCCATTCTTGCTGCCTAGATGTGATAATTATCACCATCAAACACAGGCGGTGCTAGTGCTGTGTAAGGAGTTTCAGAATCCACCTATGATGAACTGAAACAAGGTGTATAGGCTTTTATGGTGGGTTTTACTAGGTTCACTCACATGTCCTTCTAAGAAGAAAGCTCTTGATACCAATCTGAAGGTTTTATGGTGAGGATCGTAAAACTGAGAGAAGAAGAGAAAGACAATACGTATTGTGGAAGAGTAAAATGAATAATTATTCTCTCACATTTTATTTCAATGAGCTGCAGTACAATATATAATTTGAAAACAAAATGCACCTAACCAGGATTTCAGCAAAATTAAAACATAATTATCTTGCTCCTAACGTTTAGGAACCACTTATTGACTCCGTTAATGCTTAATAAAAAATAATAATAACTAAATTTCAATTACAAAAGCACAGTTTTAACAAATACAAAAAAAAGTGTCAACCACTGTGACGACTTTCGTTGGTAGTCGAAGACGTCAATTTCATTGACGAGTTGTTGCCTTTCACTTGCCTCTACCACACTGTGTTTGCCACACTGCCTTGTCTGTTTTCCTACGCACAGTAAATAGAAAATGTCATGGCAGGTGACATTTTTTGTGTTCCTGTAATCCATTCTTCACACAGAGCCAACATGCATGAGTGTAGTGTGTTGATTGACAGAGGCAACATGCATGAGTCTCATCTTTGGTGCAATATGCATGGTCCATGAAGTGTTAGATTCGCACTTCATCCCTTTAAAAAAGATGGTAAGGCCGAGGGAGAGAAAAGAGGTGTGAGTAGTGTTTCAAAGAAGAAAAAGAAATAAGAGGAGAAAAAAAAGAAAGAAAAGAAGAAGGAGTAGAGAAAGAGGAGAAAAGAGAAGAAGTATGTTTATTTTTTTTTTTAATTTTTTTATGTTTTTAAATAATTATAGTATGTCTGTGTTTATGTTTATTTTAAGTTTTTAAAAAAATATTAGTGAGAACATTTCCTTCATCTATATATGAAAAAACTTCTACTACAAAGCTTCATGGGTAGTCAAGGATAATGAATTTACCTTCACGTGTAGCCAAACAAATGATGAGACTTCATGTTCACGCGGATGAGACTTCAAGTTCACAAGCTTTGTAATTTTCTACTGCAAGGAGCACTAAGCATTGAGGAGTGGGACACTGAGTACTAGGGGGACAAACAGATGAGTACAAAACATTAATAGGGTTGACATTTTTCGTTCAAGCCTAGATGTGTACAAGACGTTAATAGGGTTGACGTTTTTCGTTCAAGCCTAGATGTATACAAAATGTCAATAGGATTGACGTTTTTTGTTCAGCCTAAATGTCTACAAAACGTCTATATAGTTGACGTTTTCTGTTGAGTTGTGCATGTGCACAAAACGTCAACTATGGTGGCGTTTTGTGTTCATTATTGCATGAAAAAAAACTCCCTCCCTCCTACAAGCATGCATGAAATCATCGTTCAAATTGACGTTTTCCAAAAATCGTCACCGAACCTAACATTTTCTTGTCTTCCTCCTGTTCCATCGTAGTCAAAACTATTTAGTTTAGTAAATATTTTTTTTTATTAATTTATTTTAGTAATTTTTATTTTTTTAATTTATTATGGTGAAAAACCCTTCAATTACCCATCAGGTCAGTGTCCACAGAGTACGATCGCCATGCTAGTGTATTAGCGTCTCAATGAAATACTATAATGGTACAACCGTACAAGCTGTAACAAAAGAAAAAGATGAAGGTAATTTAAATTTAATTCATCACCAGTTTAAACAGCCAGAGATAAGAGGCTAAGACTAACTTGCATACCCACATTTTTTTTCTTCTCTCTTTTGTTGCGTAATTGGAATTTGAAACTGATACCAAAGCATTGCGGTGCTTGCATTTCAACTACCGTTCAGCAGCCATTGAAATGCTTAAACAACAATTTTGAAACACACGCCGTAGTGAAACCATTACAACATCCAGTTCAGTCGTATTCATAATTCATAATAGATGACATGAAAATTATAACAGAACAAGAAATGAATGTAAAATGAGATGCAAAATTTCTAAGTTCAGAATAGGGAAATTTGCAAATAGAACGTATTTGGAATTCGTATATAATTTTCAAAGGTCACAAAAACCAAAGCTCCTTGAGATTTGGCAAATTTAGAAATATGGGTAGTAAGTACTTGTTTTAATAGGAGATAACAGCTTCTAACAGCTCCTCCGAAAAAATGTTCTTTTTAATTCCAATAAATAAACTCACAAAAGTTTTAAATTTGTGGCGAAACATATGCTATATAAGTCCATTAGAGCATGCCATTTTAAGTTGGATCCAAAAATTTAAATAGCCTTCTACCTTAGAAAAATTAGTAGGAATTAGGAAGGTTAATAAACGAAATAGTATGACATCAATCTCTTATTTCGCGAAATAAAATTAATTTACAATTCACCAACATTCAACATGAAGTAGTTCCAGTAAATTACTCTCAAACCTATTATCCATACAATGATCGAACCAACAAATTGAATGATAAATGCAGAATAGTGTAAACTCACTCAAATCAACTCAAACAAGCATCAAGCTGTTCCTTTAACACGTGTCTGGAATTTGGTAAGTTTTATTGGCTACGTCAATTTTGCATTTTCACCAATTGCCAATACTAAAATCACCCCTGATCAGTGAATCCAATCAACTTTTCCCCGGCAAAGAACAACACAAAAAGTTCAACTCAAATCATGCAGAGATATCTCATCTCAACTATCATGGCAATCACACAATAATGTACAGCACTATAAATTTTATTGCATTAAGTTTCACAACTACACCACAAACGCATCCAATAAGCAATACCCAACGCAGTAAACACACACACACAAGCGTTAATTCAAATACTAAAACAACACTAACAATGTATAAGAGGATAGCATATTCTTGTCTTCAACAGTGACCTAAACCCTCCCTCACGGCACCAAAAGTTAAACCCTGATCGCTACAAGCCTCGCCCTTTCGCCTTGAATTTTTTTCCCCATTCGCTCGCACCAACGGCCAAAGGAAAGCTCCGAGTTACCACGCGATTGAATCAAACGATCAAGAAAGTTCCCAACAAACAACCACTCCTGAGTCCTCACGTGACGCCTCAAGTGCGTGCGACGATCGCCGAAATCCGAACAGAATCAACCAAAAGCAACGCATCATCACCGCCTCAGAGCGAGGAATCCGGGGACCGGAACGGAACTCGGATCCGGCCCCAAGCGGTTGGTGGATCCCAAGACCAAATCGAAACCTTCGTCGGAAGCGGTGCGGGCGTCGTCGGGGCTTAACTTCTCGCCTCTCTTCAGGATCTTGACTTGGCCCATGACGAGGTTCGCGCCGGGGCCCTTCACCACCATGCCGGAGCGATCGCCGTCGTAGAGCTTCCGCCGGCGAGTGTGAGAAGGATTGGGATTAGGGTTAGGGTTAGGGTTTCTTTGTGATCTAATGGAAGATGAATAGAGGGGCATTGCGTTGTGGCCATGAAGACAATCGTGGGAGCGAAGAAGAGAGGTTCCCATTGCAGCAAATAGAAGGAAACCAAAACAAGTTGTTCTTGTTCGATAAAAAGAGAGAAGTTTGATTTTGGTATTGAGAGAAGCACAGTGGGAAAGAAGCAAAATGGAAAAGGGAGGGGTATATATAGTATTAGTAAGACTTGCTTCTTATTGCAGAATGATTTTAAATTACAATTTAATTATTATTATAAATTTAAAATATAACATATTTTAAATTATACATAATATAGTATTTATTTTAACTACGTAAAAAATACCACATGTCTTCTTATATTTTTTTTTAAAATGAAATAAAATAAATGATAAAAATAATTAAATTTAAATATGCATAAATAATTACAATTAAAAGGTGTGAAAAATTTTAAGTAATTATTTACAGAGCTTAGTATTTTATTTTAATATAATTAAAATTTATCATAAATAAATATTTTATATATTTAATTATATTAATTAAAATTTATAAAAAATAAATAATTTTAACATATAAATTATATTTTATATTTTAAATTAATAATTTATATTAGGATTTACTATTATTGATAAATTAATAGAAAAAGAGACATTTCATCTCTTTATATATTTATTTTTGACAGAATTTTGAAAAAAGAGAATTGTTAAATTTATGAATAATAATGGTTAATACAAAAATGAAAATTAAAAGGTAGTTACCAAAACTTATCATTTATATTAAGTATAGATTTTTTAAGAAATTTTGAAAGAAGATAATTGTTAAGTCTAAGGATAATAATGTTCAATATAAAAAGGATTTTTGAAGGAATTTTGAATGAAGATAATTGTTACCTATAGGGATATAATGTCCAATATAAAAATGAAAATCAAAGGTGGTTAGTAGTTACCAAAATTTATCTCTTTTTTTTTTGTTCGTCCCTGTTATATCAGGGCCGATAGCAGTGACTAGGCACCTCAAAGGGTGGGATAGCAAGCCCCAAGATTTAACGCGGTTACATACACAAGACAAGATTCGAATCCTGACCTTGCTTAAGCGTGGATCGACCTCTATCGCTGAACCACATGTTTGGGATTCAAAATATATCTCCTTAATAATAAGTATAGATTTTTTAAGGAATTTTGAAAGAAGATAATTGTTAAATCTAAGGATAATAATGTGCAATATAAAAAATTAAAACCAAAAAGATAGTTACCAAAACTTATTCCCTTTATAATAGGGTTAGATTCTATAAAAAAAATAATTGAAATTAAATATAAAAATCAATGCAATATATAATTAGAATATTGACTAAATAACACCTTTTTGTTCTCTATTTTTTAAGACCATTATATCTCTTATTTTCTATGACTACTCCATACTATTCTCTCCTTTCTTATTATAAAACACAATTTATAAGAAAATTGTCATCTTTTTTATAAGGCACTTTAAATTTTTATAAAGTATTAATTTTTTTCATTTTTTCTCCAGTTAAAGATTGTGGGAATATGTGTTTTTTGTTATTGAATAATGAGAAAATAATTTACTAAATAAATATTTTCTCTCACTTCTTAAATTATTTGCTTGTCATTTATCAATTTTCGATGCATAAGTTTTGATAAGTAATAAGTGTAAATTAGTATATCATGATTTTGTTTTATAAACACAATAAAATCAACTAACATAATAACTTATATTGGTATGTGATTTGGTTAAAAGTGATTTATAATAATTACATAATATTAAACTTCTATATATAAATAATTTGCTATAAATAAATTTTATAATAAATAATTTTAACATATAAATTATATTTTATATTTTAAATTAATAATTTACAGTATGATTTACTATTATTGATAAATTAGTAGAGAAAGAGATATTTCATGTCTTTATATATTTATTTTTGACGGAATTTTGGAAGAAGATAATTGTTAAATTTTTGGATAATAATGATAAATACAAAAATAAAAAATAAAAGGATGGTTATCAAAACTTGTCTCATTTATAATAAGTATAGATTTTTGAAGGAATTTTGAAAGAAGATAATTGTTAAATCTAAAGATAATAATGTCCTATATAAAAATGGAAACTAAAAGGGTTTTTGAAGGAATTTGGAAAGAAGATAATTATTAAATCTAGGGATAATAATGTCTAATAATACAAAAATGAAAATCAAAAGGGTGGTTAATGATTACCAAAACTTATCTCCTTAATTATAATAAATATAGATTTTTGAAGGAATTCTGAAAGAAGATAATTATTAAATATAAGGATAATAATGTCCTATATAAAAATGGAAATTAAAAGGGTTTTTAGGAAATTTTGAAAGAAGATAATTGTTAAATATAGGAATATAATGTCTAATATAAAAATGAAAACAAAAAAGGTGGTTAGTAATTACCAAAACTTATCTTCTTTATAATAAGTTTAGATTTTGGAAGAAATTTTGAAAGAAGATAATTGTTAAATCTAAAGATAATAATGTCTAATATAAAAATGAAAATCAAAAGGATGGTTACCAAAATATATTCCCGTTATAATAGGTATAAATGTTTTCAAAAAATTATTGAAATTAAATTTAAAAACTAATGCAATATATAATTAGAATATTGGCTAAGTAACATCTTTTTGTTCTCTATTTTTTTAGGACCATTATATCTCTTATTTTCTATGACTACTCCATATTATTCTCTCGTTTCTTATTATAAGGCACAATTTAAAAGAAAATTGTGATCTTTATTATAAGGCTCTTTACAATTTTTATAAAGTATTAATTTTATTTTTTATTTTTTCTCCTATTAAAGATTGTGGAAATATATGTTTTTTTTTTTTTTGGTAAACAAGGGGGCTAAAAGCCCAAAACACTAAGCATTAACTTGAAAAAATAAAGTAGAAGAATATGCAAGTAACAAAGGAAAAATAAAAGATGGATGAGACTCAAAAATGAATCTTGTTATTAAATAATGAGAACAGAATTTGATAAATAAATATTCTCTCTCGCCTCTTAAACTTTTCCATTGTCATTTATCAATTTTCAATGCATAAGTTTCGACAAGAAGTGTAAAATTAGTATATCATGATTTTGTTTTATAAGCTCAATAAAAATCGACTAACATAACAACTTATAATAGTATGTGATTCGATGAAAAGTGATTTATAATAACTACATAATATTAAACTTCTACATATAAATAACTTACTATAAATAACTTTTATTATCTTATTTTTTATTTTTAAATTCCTATTTTTATTGTATTTTATTTTTAAATTCCTTATTTTAGTTTATTTTATTTTTAAACATTTTTTTATACTTATTTTTAAACAGAAAAATAGAGGTGCGAAGTGTAGTAAAAATAAAAAGGATAAATTGATAGAAATAGATGATAAAAAAAATATGATGATAAAAAAACTTTTGTTACATAAACTCTATCAAATTTATTTTTATTGAATTGGTGGCATGCGATATACGAACTAACTTTTACTAAATTCATAATATCATTAATACATAGTTATGACAAAAATATGTTCAATTTTATTTAAATATATAATTCAAAAATAATTTATAAAACAAAAAATATTACTGCATCATAACCATACTCAAAAATAGGTAAACCATAAGATATAGTGAAAACTAAAATATTCATATTAGTGAAAACCAAAATATTCATATTTATATGAATTTACACTTCAAAATGAAAGACATAATTTATGCATCAATTATTTATAAGTAAACTTAAACCAAAACAAATAAACAAACTTGAAAATTAAAATAGTAATCAAAGCACCGTAAATTTATCAAATATAATTTCTATTTTGCTTCTATCTTTAGTGGGTTTGAATTAACGACATAAATTTGAATCTTGTTATTATTATTCTTCAACTTGTTTATTATACAATTTCTTTTTTCCAATTAGCTATAAGATGAGTTTTACCTTCTCTCTTATCTCTTCTTATTTGACATGTAATTTTTTTTTTCCTTGTTATCTTATATGACTAGAAATTATTGCTGATATAATTTTTTCCCATGTTATTATTAAATTAACTAATTTATGAAAAATAAATATAATTATATCCATTTTTTGAAGGGCAAAGGGTTCACATTATTAATTATTCTTATAAAAAATTAAATGAAAAACTTAATAACAAGAAGAAAAAAAAATAGTCACTCCAAAGGATCTTACAAGGTCTCAATATAAAGATAAAATAAATAACAAAAACATTAATAAAACCGACAATTATATAATAAAGGATTATAATTTATTTCTCAATCCTCCATGTCACATTATGCAAAATAAATTCCATGTAAAACAATTATCTAAGAAGTCTAAACTTCACCACTAGCATGCTCATCATAATCAACTTGTGTCTTACATGAAATTAGCATTTAGTCCAAACAAAATAAATAACACAAAAACAATATAGGAATGATAATACGTCTCACTCATGCTTAAAGTACATATAGAAAGGTCAGGTAGAAACTAAAATTACAAGTGTATCGAATATGTCTCAAACTACTTCACCAAAGACATCCTTACTCTTACCATGAGGTCGAAAGGTTAGTACACTTGTGAGATACATATTTGACTATTAGCTAGCACGACAAGCAAGTGTTACTCCTACATCTGTTAAGCTAGACGAAGCAATTTCCAGAAAGGTTTTGAGTGTGATAAATATAATGTATGTGGTTATCTCTAACAAGTGTGCTAGTGTTTCAGAAGAACATAAGTACAGGAAAAATGAAGAACAAGCATATGCATCAAATGATACAAGACGAAAGACGAAAGGCCAACACAAGCATCCAACAAGCCAAATCAAGAACAAGACGAAAGCGCGTCAAGCACAATCTAAAGCGAAACATAAAGATTCAGATGAAGGATGGTCAAAGATCATTTGAAAATCTAACCATATACAAGTTGACCAGATAAAAGAAAAAGTCAATGCGTTAATAACAAATGCTCAGATGAAGGACAAGCCTTGAGCTACACATAGATTACTACCAGACGCAGACGAAAATTGTCACGCAACCACCTGAGAAATCAAGTTTCATAGGACAATTTGAATGTCGTCCACACTCACAGGAGAACACACGAAGTCATCGAAATTGTGAGAAGAAAAGAAGAAAGGAGAAAATCAAGCCTAAAACTAAAAGCATG